TATATATATATATATATATGTGTGTGTGTGTGTGTGTGTGTGTGTGTGTGTACAAATGTAAATATAAATGTCTCTATAAATAAACATACATTTAAAAACAGAATTATATATATACTGTAATATATAATTGCTTTACTTTAAATATATAAATAAGTATAGAGTAGAGTAATTATACTATGTATTTTAGGGGTCACCAGTGTGTTGCATTGTTACTTTTGGGGTGAAGCTGAAAAATTTGGGATCCCCTGATGTAGAGCGTAAAGAAAATAGCTCTCTAATTAAAATAAATAAATAAATCTAATATATCATTTAAATCCAGCCATGTCATTTTCTTTGTCTTTTAATTGAGAGATCATTTAAAGTTTGTAGAACTTAATATTTAATTTAATTCATAAAGGCAAATTAAATTGTATTAAAAAGCAGTACAAGTGATGTTTTTTTTTGTGTGTAAATGTACTCCCAGCTTCACCAACAATAAGAAATGTTTTATGTTCAATGCCATATAAGCAATGTTTTTTATGTTCAATAAGAAGAGGTTTGCTCTCTAAATGACTGCAGATGAATTTTGCCTCATCTGTCCCAGTGAAGTTTTCAAAGAGGAATCTGAGCCGCAAATTCAAGAATCCTGCAGTTTAATCATTCAAACATGAATTCTCCTTTTTGTTCAACACCATGGAAAGTCTTAACACAATCCGTCTGTAAACATTAAAACGGATTTGGTAAACATTAGAGCAGTATGTTTTCAGCCTGTTAAATAATTTACATGCTGGCCCAGTGTTTACTACTTTGCATCATTACAGTAATTGCCTAGAAGTCACGAATGCGCTGATCATCTTGAAACGAATGTTTTGCAAACGCTGAGACCCTAATAAAATTCACTTGGTATCAAAGGGAGTCTCATCATCAAAGATTTTCTGTAGCAAAAAAGACGGATGAGCATGTTGATTATAAATGTAAGGGTCAGAGTGGAGCTGGTGTTGCTGCCTGTGTCTCAAACTCAGTAGAATAAAGAGGTTTGTCAGAAAGCTGATGATCGTTACAGTAACTCGTAATGAGGATTATTATTTTAAAGTAAACAATTTAAATGTTTGATCAAGTACCCTCATCCCGTCCTTGTAGAGGCACAAATTATGATTAACTATTTTTTTTTATGAAGGCTAATTTACCGAAGGCTAATTTCATTTTCACCCAGAACTACCAGATCTGAATAATTGAGGTGTAAAACTTGTCAATGTCAAATCTTTGATGACATTGCAAAATATACAAATCAAAATAAGTCATTTTTCTTAAAATTAGTGCATTTTTTTTTCTTGAATTGAGGAGGGAAGTGAGACTCTTTGCCAATGGAACAAGACAATTTACATTCAAAATAATAATAATAAAAATATATAGTATTATTTCAATTGCATATTATTTGATTATCTTATTCTAAGAGTAATTAACTAATTCCACAGGCAAATCACATTATTTACCTGTTAAAATTAAGAGTAAATACACTTAATTTAAGTCATTTTTACTCATTTCTAGATAATTTTTTGGAATGTAAGACATCCTTGAACAGATGGGAAACAAATGCCTTTTTCCTGCGGAACACCCCTGGAATTAAAGCCTCCGGTAATGGGAATCCTGGGTGCTTTCCCATTAAACGGTCAGCCTGAGAGAAACTGCAATACACCTTCAATCCAGCTGGTGGCGGTAATGAGAACATACAACTGATTTTCCCTTTATGTCCAGGGCCAGCTAGAAGTAAATCCCAAAGATTAAAGTTTCTTTTGCATTTGATTTTTTTCAACCTGCATTTGGTCAGAGTTGCTTTTAATTGTATCATTCACTTAAAATAACAAATAATAATAAAAACTAATTTACAGAGTTATGTTCTTTTATTTTAATAATCGGGTAAATCTCATGAATTTATGACACCAACAGAAAACGCAACTTAACGAGACGTAAGCCCGGTTGGTAAGCGCTGCCTTCTGCAGCACTAAGCAACTTCTCTGATCTGAGTAAGATTACAGTTTCTGTCCAAATCTGTTGTCATGTTTCCTGGCTATTTCATACATATACATTATGAAGTTTTATTTAAAGAGCTTGTCCCGAATGATCTCTTCTCAGAAAATGAATATAAAATGAATTGAAAATGAATTAAATATTGAAAAACAAGAATGAGAAAGAAAGAAAGAAGTGTGTGTAAATACGTGAAAAGGACACTGTATGTGTACATTTGAAAATGAGGTGAAGGATTCGAAGATTGCTAGCCTTGTGTTATTTTTCCAAAGCATTACGGAATGCAGCACTACCACTTGCAGCAGAGCATGCTTCTGCCCCCTTTGTGCTTTACAGTGTCTTAATTTTTATTTTATTTTCTTATCCTCGTGGCCAAATAGATTGCCCCTACTTGCCCTCAACTGCTTTGCTTAAACAACTATTCAGCTTCCTCTGAGTGTTTAAATATTTATTTATTTCTCTTAATCTGGATTGTTTTTGATCACCGGAGTTGTTTATTGCATCATCTTCTAAGTGAGAAAAGTGTATGTTTTAAAGTATACAGATTTAATCAATAAGTCGTGTTCATATGGTTTACACAAATTCAATAACATTCTACTGTGAAGTAGCTAAAAAGTGCTCTAAATACTTTGCAGGCTGCCTTTGAAATGTAATAGAACCTGTCCTTCACACTAAAATGTTTCTGAAATGAAACATCTACCTTTTTCCTTGGTCGTTTTCCTTTCTTTAAGGAGTTTTTGAAAAAAGAAAAATATAATAAAATTCCCTTTCACTGCATGGCAAACAGTTGTTGATGTCCTTTATCAAACAGCTATTTTAGGAGGAGAAGAGAGAGACAGTGCTTTGAAGACATTTAACCTTTTTATATAGTCTTACAATTGGGGCTCTCAAGGCCTTTCATTTGTGAAGTTCCTGTGGAAAATTCAGGGAGCTTCGACTCATTTTACTACCAGTACAGTATATTTATATTTCAGCTCCAATCAAATCTAGCCAATATGCCTTCCCTATGTATTTTTCCCTGTGAGCCATGCCACCCCAC